ACACATCGTTCAAGAGTCGCCGCTCTATTTACCTGTCAGGTTGAAATTGTTCTTCGCCGGCGGGAACAATGTCGCGAGGCATCATCGTCGCGATTGCTGAAGCGACAACAAACGGCGGCCCGCGACGCCGAATGGTAAGAGGGACGCGCCAAGGGGGTGGGAATGGGTGCGTCGAAAAGCTCGCTGATTACTCCATTGTCGGGCCGGTTGTTTCAGTTAATCGCAACGCCCCGTGGCGTTTTGTTGTCCTTTTATCGCGCCGTTCTGCCGACCGGTCGCCAGCTGCATCCAGCCGGATGCATAGAAAGGGGGAGGGTGCACCCTGGAAATTCAAGGTAACGGCCGAGGGTCGCGGAATTCTTAACGTCGTCGCGGCAACTAATAGTTACTACACTATTTACTCTACAATGTTAATCTATCAATTTCCTACTCTAATTTCTAAACACCAAATTCAAAGTAGGCAAACTGGATACTCCAGAAAGTAAGACATCTTTTCACCCCTTAAGTACCATAACAATACTATACAATTCGAAATCGTCCGTTACAACCTTGAATTATTACCAAATTATCTTCAATAATTCCCAATCGTTACTAATCCACGATTAAAACCGAAGTGATCACAACGAATCCCAGTTAATAATCGCAACATATAACTACCTAATCTATCGCATTCTAATCATCAATCCCAACATCCGACTAAATCACACTGCCCAATTCCCCCAGCACGTCAACTTAAAACAATTTCTGTGAACTTCAAACGAAAGGAATATCCACCGCAAACGATTAACAATCTCCAGCAAAAAGACCTGCGCCGCGCAGGACACCGGCCACAAAGGGAAGATATCATTCGCACCCCTAATCCGGGGCGCGGGACAGGTGACCGGGGATTGTCGCGAGTCGGAAGATAAAAGAAGAGGAGCCGCGAAAGGGCGTTCCCCGTAAACGAGACTCGATTGTCCGTATCGCGCGATACGAACGAACGTTCCTCGAGGTCCGTCCGAAATCGAATTCCACTTTGTTTGGCCCGAATATCTATATATATACAGTAGTCGTAGTATATTCGGTATTCAGCGTGCGGCCCGGTCGGCCAGGCGTCGCCGTATCAAAATAGAGCACGCTACAATAACTTATTCGGCCGAACAAAATCGCGTGGAAGGGTAGTATTTTATGGAGTCCCGTTCGGGTTACATACGATGAATACATCGAACGGCGGCGGGGCTCGGGGAACGTCGTATGTGACTCGAATGTATCATAAACCCGGCTACGGGGTGAACCATCCCCTCCGCAGACACCTCACACCGTCCCTTCGACGTTTCTGCCACGCACGTACACTTATCTTGCCATTTGGCCACCACCGATCCCTTAAAGTGTTCTTTGATATTCCTGAGGACGCGACCGACCACCGTGAAAATTCGTTTCGGTTACTTGGACCCGTGGGGATGATACGCGAGTGACCTACTGGTTTCTGGCGTTTAAGTTGATTTAGATTCATTTTTGAATAGAGGAATTGTGTGGGAATCAGAAAGCGGAGGATCTCGTTTGAACTTTGGTTTTTGAAATACAGCGTTTGGAACTGGGGTTTGAGGAAATTGGGAATCAGGAGATTATAGGTTTAAAGGTTGAAGACCTTAGGAGTGAGCGGGGAATGTTGATTGGTCTTGATTAGGTTGTGTTTATATGGAATTGAAAATCCAAGGGTAATGAATCCTTATATTGTCGAAGCTAATTCGAATAAAAACATGAAGCTACCCTTCAAAACATTAGATATTTACAAAGTTTTATCAATGCACATTTCGTGTCAAAATCTATCAACTAAGCACATTGAATAGCTGTCTAAACCATCTTCGATCCATCCCCAAAAGCAAGGGGGATGATTTTTCCCGGTTTACCAAAATCATCACACTGGCCGTCAGCGAGGAACAGACGAAATCGATGGAGAAACAAGTACAAACACTGATAATTGATCGGAGAAGAAAGACAGTCGAGTAGGAGGGTGGCATCCGCGTCGCAGCCCAAAATTAAGGAGCCGTCGGCGATGAGCCGCCGGAAAGCAGAATTGTTTCATTGATGAGGGAGCATTCAAGGCCGTGGTAGGCACCGAGACCAAAGTGGGTACACTGCAAGTCGAAGAGGGGGCAGAGGAGGTGGATGGGGAATGCTACGACGTTTACGAGTCCGCTTGCAACCCTCTTTTGGCCCACGCCGCGCGATGAATGGCATAATCAGTGGTCGCGTGGCACCCCACCAACCCTGAAGAGCGACCAAGATGATAACGGAAGGTGAGCCGCGTCGAACAGAGACGGGGGAACTGATAGAGAAATTCCCTATCCCCGGTCCGTGCCTCCGCTATCATCGAAATCGGGAGAAACACGAATGTGGAAAAGTCACTTAACGTATCTTCCCCCCGCGCCCACCCTTCGCTGCTTTTGTTCTGCGTTTTTTAGAGGGCCGAGTGGTGTCTGGTCTTTGATAGATACGGGATGTTTAACATGAGAATGATACTGTGTTGTGCCTGGGTTCTTGTATTGTTTTAAAATGCTTGATGTTTGAAAAATTATTAGGTTTCTAAGGTATTGAGTTTGTACGTTATTAGATTTCTAAATTATTAAGTTTCTAAAGTATTCCATTTCTAAATTATTAAGTTTCTAAAGTATTCAATTTTTAAATTATTAAGTTTCTAAAGTATTCAATTTCTAAATTATTAAGTTTCTAAGTCATAAAGATTCTAAATTATTCAATTTCTAATTATTCAATTTCCAAATTATTCAATTTCCAAACCGTTCAATTTCTAAATCATTAATATTCTAACTGATTAAACGTCTAAATTACTTAATTTCCAAGCCATGGAGTTCAACTTTCAACAAATTTCCCTTACTTGGTTGTTAAGCTTTTGTTACTCGGAGGGCATTGAAAAAAGTTTACGATAAGAAATAGAAGCGTTCTATTTTAAGATGATCCTTAAAAGGAAACCGATTGCTGAAAAGTAAGTTTCGACGAAATGTAACCGAACGCGAATCAACGAAAGAAACATTCGCGAAAGAAGGTGCGATGTTTGCCGGTGATAATGACTAATTGAAAGTATCGGCGCGGAGATAAGGGAACGGCGGCGTGGGAGGCAGTGAAAAGAGAAGCGAGCCCCCTTTTCTTCTCGTCGATGACTGATAAAAATCGTGTTCACGCCCCATGAATAACGGGGACCGTGTAACGAGGGGGGTGATAAAGGCACGCTGACAGAATGACAGTCGGACCGCAGCTACTCGTGCACCGCCGTGCGCCGAATTTATGATTGAGTTAATAACAGAACAAATAGCTGATTGGCTTCGATAATCTCCGCGCGACGAACCCCTCGACCCACCCTTCTTTCTTTCTGCCATTGATTCGCTTCCGTCTGTCGCACGGTCAATTTTCGGCTAGCCCCTTTCTGATCTGTTGTTCGATCTTACTGACAAAGAAAAAATCTCATTCATCCGACCTAGCGTAAGCAACGTTTAATTTAAAACTCGTTGATTATTAAATTCATGACTTCACGTTGATAAAGTCGTTAATTAAGAACTACTCGAACGTCACAATATTACGAGGATTAAAAATTTTACTTAAACTGATCGCTGGGCTAGGGAAATGTGTAAATAATGAATATTTTGAATATCACTATTTGAATTAAGATTATTCAAAATTCTCATTGGATTTCGTAATTTTTAATTCCGTTTGAAAGTAATTTGCACAGAAGCCAGGTCAGAAGTCGTTCTTTTCTTCCATTGTTCCATTTTTCCTGCCCGCTACACGGATCCCCCCGGTTTTCCGGGACAGATGAATATTTCGAAACTTTCCGGAAATTCAATCGTCCGGCTGTACAGCCGCTGCTTTATGAAAGCTGGAATTCGCTGAGATGTTACCACTAACACACAGCCCCTCTTGTCTCGTTTTACACCTCCTCGCTTTATCGTCTTATCACTGGAGACGTCTTCAGCCCCGGCCATGCCCTACCCCCGCCTCCCTCCCCGACCCCTTCCACGGTTGCTTCTTCCAGCAAGACATCGCCAGGACTGATAACATTTATTTCAAGCAGTGCCTCGGCCTGTTCTTCTCTCGCACGAACAATGTGGGAAAAATATTTCTGTATTCCAATGTGTGGACACAATGAGATCGTAGAAGCTTGTTAAAAAAAATGGGTCGATCGTCTTGCAGTGCTATTTTTAGTGAAATTCTCTACTTGTAGTATCATTCCATTATTATCCAGTATAATCATACAATCCCCAGCGACAACAGAAAAATAAGAAATCAAAAAGAAAGGACAAAACTTTATCATACTATTATCAGAACAAAACCGAACCAATTTCTAAAAGAAACAATATTTCTTAAGCCACTTACGCTCCACGATAATCAATCAAAACCTACCAACAATTCACAAAACCTGCATAACCACACAAGCAACTCACAAAATCCATTTCAGCAATTGAACCCTTTAAGCTACCCAAAGAAAGAAGGATTGCCCCCGAGAAAGGATTAAAAACGGCTCCCCAAAGGTAATTTCCTTCATCGAATCAGCCCAATCGGTCTCCAATCTGATCGATCGATGGATCGGCCAGCGTCTGTCCAGCTACACAGCTGTTCCACTTAAATCGCGGTGGCATTGTCTCGGCCCATCAATGTCCCGGAAACGCGGTGACCATCGGCATCGGGGGTGGCAAAAAGGTGAGAAAAACCGGTGGCGCGCGATAATCTGTGCGACAGAGGGACACAGGCTCGCGGGCGGCCGACGTTGAGGAGCGCGGAAGAGGGAACAGCCGGGAGAGAAGAGAAAGGGACACCCTCCACCTGTTGATCCCGGCGGTGTCGTCGGTCCGCCATGTCGACGAAGGAGCCAATCGTGGGTGTCCGTGAGCCGCGGACCATAGTGGGAGAGGAGGAACATTCCTGGTTGGCCGATCCTTGTTTCCACCGCGTCCCACGGGGCTCCCGGCTACTCCGCGGTTCCCGATTCCTCCCTGGCTCATCCCAGACTCGACGACAGCGAGGTCCTGACGGGATCCGCAGCCAGTCCTCGCCAGAGTATTAATCAAACAGCCTGGTGGTGTTCAACGTTCTCCACGTGGGACACGGACAACGCGTCATCCGCAGTGAAAGAGGCTGTAATCCAATAAGACACCGGGGATAATCGCTGGAAATTGGCTTGAGGAATGAGCCAGTTAGAAAGTCTGTTAAGAGTCAACTTAAATCTGCTTTGATTTTATGAACCCGAGGGCGAGGAGAATTAGTTGGGAGGCTTTCAGTTTTGGGACGTGAGCAGTGAACGAAGATTAAGAGGATTCAGAGACTCGAAGGATGTCGATGAACGTCGAAGAGGATTTTTGTAGATTGAACAAGGTGGTTTTTTATTGTTGACTGGGTAATTGAAGTTGATCGTGCGGTGCTGAGTTTCGTTGGCCACGTGATTGAACCTTGCATGGGGTGTGTTTTGGAGATTGGACGTGGGAGTTCGGATAATGATGCTGGAGGTTGGTGGGAGACGGTTTTCGCTGATAGTGGAATGGTATGAAGTTAGAGGATCGATGAAAGGGAATTGAAGATTGAGATTGAACGTTTCTCGAGGTTTCTGGAGGGATCGAAGGTATTGCCAGTCGAGATGTCGTCGAAAACGCTGCACAACGAGCATATCAAGAGGCCGATGAACGCGTTCATGGTGTGGTCCCGCGGGCAGCGACGGAAAATGGCACAGGAGAACCCGAAGATGCATAATTCGGAGATCTCGAAGAGGCTGGGGGCCGAGTGGAAGCTGCTCAGCGAGAGCGAGAAGCGGCCGTTCATCGATGAAGCTAAACGATTAAGGTGAGACACGATTTTTTATTAAATAACCTTCAGTTGATCGTACGTCTGTGAATCTTTGAACACAGTTCCAGCTGGTTTCGAAATTTATACGAACTACGGTGCAAAGAATAATAGTACAATTTTCGTGAGAACTTGGAAGTACCTTACATACAAAATTTCACGGTTTACTATAAAGATATATCCATCAGTGATCATATTCCTTTTGCTAAGATAAAATCCTTCAAATGCCGATAATCTTCTGAGTTTGTACATTGATAAATTGATAATTTATCTTCATTCACCTCGTAAATAGGAAACTGATAATAATATTATAATTCAAAGGTGTAATACAAAGAATTTAAACGGATCGCGCAGGAAAAAGATACCACTAAAAGTAAACGAATCGCAGAATGGCGAATAATTAACTTTTCAATAAAGATATTCATAAATTCCAATCACGCGTGCATTCAGCGAGTATCATCTTCGCGGCAGATGAAGCCATTCGACAACGTTCCCGTATCGCTTTCAATCGACTCGACGATTTTTCTTTGCGCGCTAATTGCTCTTTAGTCACGGCGGCCGCCCGAACGAAAATTATCGCGTTGGGGCGTATCTGCAATAACCGATGGGGGGACCCCGTACTTCATAATACGGTACATTGTTGCTGGAGCTAAGAGCCGCGGCTGCACCTAAGCCAAGGGGTGGAACAGGGGTGAAGTAAAGTGGTATTTACGGTGGTGGAGAGGGGACAAGCTCTTTATTACGACCCTGAATATTTAATCATTGTTATGAGTTTATTTAGTCCGGCGAACGGAGAACAGGTCCGTGAGGCTTCAATATTTTTTTTATCGTCCCCTTGATTACTTCGTTCACCGGGCGAGATTAATTCCGAGCGAATTTCTGCAACGGTAACCACATATTTTCATTTATCTTCAAAATCCAATTACGCTGTTGCATACGAAATCGTCGTTTTCCTAACATACTTAGAACATCTTGAATCGAACCATAAAAAAATGGTAGCCAACGCTATCGGTCACATTCGACTGAGTTCACGCTAAATCAAATATTCAATGAGAAATCTCGAAAGAGCTAAGACACTTGATTCCCCGTATAATTTCCGAAAGATTCATCTATTTCCTTTTATCCATTATCGGCCGGGGTCGTCGTTTACCCAGCAAACATCCCCGCATTGAAATAAACGTCCCCGTTATCGCGTGGCATCGGATGCGCCAACGTAACGCGCGTTCGGGGATTAAGAAACGGTGGAAAACGAAACGAGCGATATTAAAGGATCGTAAAAGAGAAATAAAGGGTTGGAAGAGGGCGAGGAAGTTAGAGGGAATAAGCATTAATTGGAAAGTACGACG